CCTCTTGTTTTCCTCCACCCTGGCTGTCATTGGATCGGACTGATGCTGCATTCGTTCCGTCCATGGCCTATCAGGGAAAACTCTGGCTCTGCAGGAACGATTTCTGAGGAGGTAACCAGACAGAACAACGTCCTCCAAGTCTTTTTCATCTTTCCGGGTCACCCGGAGTAGTCTGGGTTCCCCGACATGGGGCGACGTTGGCTGGCGCATAAGTCTCGTGAGGCCCACAGGTAGAACATTAATGCCCATCTGCGTGCATAAACCCTTCCAGTGTCCCAGCTCTTCTTCTTGTCGTTCTCTCATTGGTTGTTTTGTCGGTTCAGGTACATTTGTGCAAATAAGCGTCAAGGCTGTATTGCTCCCACCAATTCAGACTAGAATTCCACATACAGCAATCCAGATGAACACATATACACAACAAGTACGGAGACCACACTATGTGAAATTGCATTATCATTTGCAACATCTATTTTAATTTACTCTTTTGAACACCACACAGATTGCTTGATAGTAGTTTATGGTGGGCCAAAAACCAAATGATTAATTACCACGTGGATGTTTTTCGTCAATACAACGAAACCAAGCGACGTCGGCAAAAACAGTGGGAATCTATTTATTCCTTCTCTAGTCGAATTCATTATGAGGATATCATACTTTTCAGAAAAATTTAATTTTGACTCCAACTATAAAAAACGCAACGGACCGACGCCGGTATCAGTAGGTCAAAATACTTAGAAGAAATACCAATAACTTAGTCGTAAACGATGAAACTAAATCGTCGGTCTGTTGCCGCTCACGGATCTTTGTGGCTTATCAGTAAACTACTCAGATTAAAACAGCAAATAACAACAGATTCTATTCGGTTTCATTTTCACTCGGTGGTTTTGGTTACTATCTGTTGGAATATTTCGCCTTTACATTCTAAACGGTAAAGAGTTTTAAAAATTTAGAACCGTTATATGTTTCAAGTAGTTTTGTCCCTTGGCTCATTCAGGCAAACTTTCCTATTTCCATCATTATTTTGGATTGCCCCTTCATATTGATTTAGTACGTTGTTTGACTGAAAACTTCTCACCAAAGACCTATTATCGACAATAAGAAACTCCGCCTCGATGATTTTATCCATTTCTCTTCCATTTTTATCGGTATCCAATTATTCCGTGTTTCACTTCAATCTTCTTAGTGCATTTTGACCTCTTTCCGTTGACCCACGAGAATTAGGAACCTTTTTTTAATACTTTCACATTTTGATATCCCCATTCAGGACTCAAAAACTTCACTGTACCTGCACTTGGCCTGGATAAGTTTTTCTCAATTCACTGAAGATGTATTACAAAACATCGGTAAGTCCGTAAAACACATCAGCAGTCGAAAATCTTCTTACTGGCCTGATTGTTTCAATAGTCCGAACCTCAAATTGCATACAATACTGTCATAAACATCTGTCAGGAATTCGTTGGGCTCACATGACTCGGTCCAGAAGCAAATGGTATAAAAACTTTAAACTCATTCTTGTTGTCATGCTGATGAGGACGATGGTTTACTAAGTCACCGATCAAACACAATTGTGCGACAAGTGCATAGCACATTCTAGAAGCAGTACACCTCATTTCAAAATGGGG